TTCCTGTGTAGGACTGGGTTTCCATTTCCTTCAAAAATCTTATTCTCTGTCACTCCCAGTAACTCACTTGCGTCTTAGTGGCAATATTGCTCTGCTTGGAGTGAAATGATTTTTAAAAATACCTTATCCATTTCAAGTTTAACATCATAGTTTTCTCTCGCTCATATAGTAATTTAATTTACGATAATCATGTGAACACTTGACATTTTATTTTATTTTAAGTGTATCAATTTTCGAATTAGGCCTTACTAATTACTATATATATGAAGATGATGAAACAAACTGGAAAATCTATAAACGACGCGCGCGTGCGCCTGTCTGGTAAGGTCTTTAGCTAATTTGCATTTATTCAACACCCACAGAGCACATCTGTGGTTATACTGTAGCTATGATGAGCTTTCTGGGAGAGAGCGCACAATCTGGCTTGATCACCGGTTGAACAATGACAACACACGACCACAATGACTTTTAACTTCGTGTTAGTACAATCATCGTCGGCTTCCGAGCGTTTTCCTCTACCCAGTTTCACAAGGCTCGAGCCAAACAACGGCGTGCTTTACAGGTTTGCCAACGGATCGTCTCAAGTTGACAATGTTTTTAATTATCTCACATTTAATCAGCATATATATATGTATTTGTGTGTGTGTGTGTGTGTGTGTGTGTGTATAGGTGTGTATGTGTGGAGGTGTGGAGGTGTGGAGGTATGTGGGTGTGTGTGTGTGTGTGAATGATACCACACAGTGTGTGCTGGTGGTAATAAAACATTGCTCGACGATTGCCATTTTCATGAAACGCAGAGGAACAAATGTATTATAGCTATCTATCCATCCATCTCTCTCTCTCTCTCTCTCTCTCTCTATATATATATATATATATATATATATATATATATATATATATATGTGTGTGTGTAGGTGTGTGTGTGCTTGAATGTATGTGTATGCCTGTGTATGTGCGTACTTTCGTTGATATTATACGAGATAATTAGAAACAATGAATATATAAATATAAATAAAAGTATATATAAACAGCAATATATATATATATATATATATATATATATATATATATATATATATATATATATATATATATATATAATGTTGTATATTAAGTGCTGGAGGTAATAAAATAGTGTTCGATGTAAAATAACAGATGAATATATTATATATTAATAATAAATATATTTTCTCCTCAGCACTTGAAGATTGCTTTGAATATGAAACGCAGAGTTGATTTACCGGCGAAGATATATATATATATATATATATATATCGCACATAGAATGCTGGTGTAAATAAAAGTCTCAGTTCAGCACCTGAAGATTGCATTGTATATGAGACTCAGAGTCGCGCTACCAGTATGAGAAAAATGACTGTGTGTTATTGTGAGTGTGTGTGTATGTGTGTGCGCGCGCAGTATTAATCGTACAATGTGATATAATTAAAAACAAGAGCAATACATCTCAAATCAAGTGATAATTATCCTGTAAGAGATAGTTAAATATCTCGATATATATATATATATATTTATTTATTAAAGACATATTTTATGTTTAACGTTGTTATTTTATAGATACAAGTATTTAAGCAAATGCTCTGTTTATGATAAACAGTATTAAATAACATTTATCGGCCTGAATGTCCGAGAAATTTTCATAGAAAATTTTCGTTCTTTGACAGGATTCGAACCTGCATCCTATACGGAACCGTCATATACGCTGACGTGCCTTACCGCTTAGGCTTGTTCGGTAGACAAGGTCGAATTTACTGCTTATAAACTCCAATTTTCCATGAATCTCGTACATTCATAACTGCTCTGGCGTATCGAATGTAAACAAATGACGTCATATATTAAGAAATGGACAAGGTCCGACAATTTATTTATTAAAGACATTTTTTATGTTTAACGTTGTTATAATAACAACGTTAAACATAAAATATGTCTTTAATAAATAAATTGTCGGACCTTGTCCATTTCTTAATATATATATATATATAACTTCCTAGTAATGACAAATAGCGATTTGTAATAAACATTGGAAAATTTTATTTTTCTCCTGAAAACTTAACTGAAAATAAGAATGCGTCTTATCTGCCGAAAATACAGAAAAGGCGCCAAGACACATACGCATGAGAGTTTTCTTCTGAGAATGTGTATCTTTGCATGTTTAGCAATGTGTTCGTGTGTTTTTTCTTATTTGTCTGTCTGTCGCTCTCTTCTTCATTCTGTCAGTTCTCTTTCTCATCCAACCTTCTCCCTTCTCCTTTCTACTCATCAGAATCTATAAAAGAGAAACAGACAGAAATGGCTTCCTTTCTGATCTTACCGCCATTCGACAGACTTGCATCTGCCAATTCGTCAAATTATATTTATGTGACACTGCTCACGTGACAGCCTGACATCCATTTTTCGAGTGTCAAATGAAAAGGGCGTTTTTGTCTTATTTCTTTTTCCTTTTTCTTTTCATCTCTTCTAAGATCCTTTTTTGTTTTTGTTTTTGGTTGCATGTTGCATGACTGGGAAATCAGGGTGTTTTTTTTTTATGTTCGCACACTCAGGATTAGGGTGCGTAAGCGGGTGCTTTCATTGCTAATAATCAGGGGGCATTAGTTTCTGAATTGAAAAAAAAATCAAATTTGGCGAAGAAATATTAGTCATACTAAAACAGAAACAATACAGTTCGTTCATTCAGCCAAGACAGAATGTGAAGTCAGGAATCATATTATAATCCTGTTTATTCTTCCGTTATTTTGTGAGTTAGAGTAGCACATGCATTGCGTCCTGACCTTACCTCGGATAAATGATGAACCATTCCGTTTACAGATATATCAGAGCCGATACTTGTATGAAATGAATAACATTTTCAGTTTTGGATCTGTTTATTTGTACATTAAATAGTAACCTGCATTCGTATTTATCGAGATTTTCAAAGCATAGGTTAGATGAGGCACAAAGCCGAAAGTATGGAACACCCAAATGAGGATAGAAATGAAAGAATAATGTTTCCAAGAAAATATCCCATATATTCACTTTTTCGTCTTTGATCTGATGAAAACTAAAATGGTCGAAATACATTATCGAATATTTTTTCGAAACATAGTTTCATGAACTATTTTTCCAATTGTCATTTATACGATACAACTGAATATATATATGACAAGCTATTACTCATATTATATATATATATATATATATATATATATATATATATATAACCTTAAAATTATTTATGTAATGATGGGTATATTTTCTTTAAATACATACATACACACACACACACACACACACACACACACACATACACACACACACACACACACACACACATATATATATATATATATAATTTTTAAAAAATATGATTCCTTCTGCTATATAAGAGTTCTCATAGGCACCGGAGCGCACATTTTTCTTAAAGAATATATATATATATATATATATATATATAATTATTTATTTAAAAATTATAACATAAATATGTTATAAAATCACTACAAAAATAGCCTTTTGTTTCAACACTTTTGGTGTCTTATCAAGTGATGATGTTGAATGTAGATTGTAGAACAATCTACATTCAACATCATCACTTGATAAGACACGTGACAATAAGTGATAAGACAAGTAATGATGTTGAATGTAGATTGTTCTACAATCTACATTTTCAAAATAAAATCCATGCAACGGAATAGAAATATATATATATATATATATATATAAAGAATTAATGAATTTATTTTTAATCTGACATCCCCGCCGGAGAGCACGTTTCCTTTATTAAGTTTTATCGAGTGCGCAGAATATATATAATATATATAATTTGAACCCTGCGTGTGAGGTTTATCGGCCTGCGCACTCCTTAAAACTTAATAAAGAAAAAATAACTCTCGCGCAGGGATGTCGAATTAAAATAAATTCTTTTAGTTCTTTAGAAATATATATATATATATATATATATATATATACACACACACACACACACACACACACACACACATATATATATATATATATATATATATATATATATATATATATATATATATATATATATATATATAATACATAAAAGGAATGAATCAGACCAGGAAACAGTAGTATTAAAAGTGCTCAACACAAGTATGAAAATAAAATCGAATTAAAATAAGATATCTCCTGTTAATTCACTTCTCCAAGTTCTCTAATACCTGGCAGCGAGGCAACCATATATTGAACTCACAACTCTTTGGGTCCTGTCATTGGATATAACCAACGCCTTTATCCACCATGTGTCTCCTCAAACATGACCACCCATGAAATAACGAGTCATTGGAAATAATATCGCGTTAAAAGTAAAATCCGATATTATTTTCAATTACTCATTATTTCTTTAGAAATAACTTTCTTTACATATGTATATTCCATTTATTACATACTAGGAGCATGGCCCGGCGTTGCCCATGCTTGATTCAAAAATCGTACGACTCATACAGCAATCGCTATCTCTTGACTTAAAATATTTTTGCCCTTCCTTGCCTTTAAAGGAGTGCCCTTTGCCGTGCTAATATTGCTACATGCCTTACTTCTTGCCTATCTCACACTGCGAATTTTTTCTAAGCTCTATACTAAACATTACATCTGTTACGAAAAAAGAACTAAACAAAATAAACACAAAACGATCAGCTTTAAAAAAGGACTCGTAACTGGAAAAACCGTATGAAAAAAGAATGTTAACAACAAATACTTTTTCACACCAAACCCAGTTCTGCGGAATCAGAATCAACGTTGAGTTTAAGCAAGCGAATGAGCCAACTGGAGTAAAGTGCCATGTAGATTTAAATTTTTCCCACTTGTAACGAATGCAGCATGTTTTTTTTTTTTTTTTGCATGCTAGCATGCTAGTTAACATTCGTGTCAGTCAGCTATTGGCTCTCGCGCTGGCCAATAGAATCTTCCTGCATATTCGTGGCAGCCAGCTATAGGCTCTCACTTTGGCCAGTAGAAAATGGCCACAAACTACATGAAAACTGCCGTAGAAGCATGAAAAAATCGATTATTTCCACTATCGATGGGAGTTGGGAAATGCAAAGTCGGTCTTGGCCTTCACAATAACTTGGAGCATGTGCATGTAAATTTTGGTGCAAATCCGTCGAAAATTGCGGCTGTGCATTCGTTACACACACACACACACACACACATCCTGCCTTTTATAGATAGAGATTGTCGTACTGATATTGTAGTAAAATGCCAAAATCTGCATTCAATATCGCACCAAACTATCAAGGAACTTAGGTGTAGTATTTACCCGAGATGACCTCCCGGGAGCCGAATGCTGACTTCACAGCTGTACCATGTTTTGAGATAAATAGAAAAATAGCCACGCCAGCGACGAGTAAAGAGTTCCTTAGACATCGCAAATGAAAATGCAAGATGGACGCTTCGGACGATGCGTCCAAAAATTCAAGTCACGTGTTATCAATTGGTCTGTATCCCAACTGCATTACAATATTATTAAAAATTTGTATGAAAACGATCAAGAAATGCAACATTCATGACCTGCGCTGGCTAAATCCAGTGACTTGACCCAAAGAGTTATGAGTTAAAAAAAACCTTAGAGATTTGAGTTAAAGGGAGGCATGGCACGTGGAACTAAAATAATCTAACCCGGTGGCCGAAATAAACGGTTCAATTCGAAATTCCAATCACTCGAAGAAGGCCGGAGTTTATAACGACCGAAACATCGTGAATATGGCAACAAAGGTGAATACAACTGTCCGAACAATGTAAATAATGTAAATATTCTACCTATGTTTCATAGACCACGCAAAATCATTTGATAACGTACGATACAACGATATCTTTGAACTACTATAAAGATATCGGAATAATCAAGACTATATACTAGAAGCCGATCACCTGCACAGGAAAAGAAAATGGAACTGACTAAGTACACACACACACACACACACAAAGAAAGGCACGAGTACATCTCACCAGATTTATTTAGCTCTACAACGAGGCAACCCTAGGAGAACTAGAAATCCTGCCAGAATTTATTACTGGCAGAGACAATCTTACAAACATAAGATATGCAGATGTCACTGTGTTGATATCAGGCACAGAAACAAAATTGCAGGAAATCGTAGACAAGGTCGTAAAGGAAAGCAAGATGAAAAGACTAACAATCAATTGTAAGAAGATAGAATGTATGGTTTTCAGCAAGAGGAACTGTCCATGATGCGAATTACAAATTGGTGACATTCAAATGGAGTAAGTGCAGAAATTTAAATCTTTGGGGAGTCGGAAATGTGACATCGAAATCGAAAGGCGCAGTGGAGTAGAGAAAGATCTCTTGCAAAACCTAAGCAAAGTATGAAGAGAAAGAAACAAAATCCTTAGAAACAAAGTAACAATTAATGAACTGCTACTTAATCCTACTATATGGCTGTCCCGGAATGCAGGACAATTTCCTGACAAATGAAGAGGAGGCTTAAGACAATAGAATTGTGATTCTATAGAAGAAAGCTGTGAATATTATGGACAGAGCATCGAAACAACGACGACATTTTAAGGAAAATGAAATCAAAAAGACAATTATGTATAGAATCATAAAGAAACAATTGAAATTTTTGTGATAAATAATGAGGAATGCAGGCTTGGAGAATTCAGTTCTCTTATATGGCAGTGAATTCTGGACAATCTCCGCACAGATTAATTAAAGACTTTAAGCATCAGTGGTTCTACAGAAGGATGCTGAGAATACCATTGACTAAACACGCGAGCAACGAAGTTTTAGGGAAAATGACAACAAAAAGGACACTTATAGTTAACATCAGACAGAGGCAGCTGAACTTTTGGGGCACATCATGAGGATAGGCGGCTTGGAAAATTTGACTCTCACAGAACAGATTGAAGGCAAGAAGGACGGTGAAGAAACAGCAAGAAAACCACCAACCAAAATTGATGATAGATGATGGAACGGAGAATGGGAATGATGTTAAAGAAATCATAGCTATGACCTACAAAGGATAAGAATTTGAATAGAGCTATGATCGCCTACGTCCTGAAGGGAAACCACGCATAAAAGAAAGTAAAATTGTTTTAAGTACGCAAATCTTTATGGATATTTTTTACGAAAAGAAACAAAATTATTAAAAGTGAAACTATACCTGGCAGCGAATAGTTTAAAATCAAAGTTTAATGTTAGTGTCTGAAAAGAGTCATCATAAGTATTTTAGTACTTAACCGAATGACTGAAATGATTAGTCGTGTTGCTAAGATGAAAAAGTGAGAAACCAACCGTACCAACGGAACGTCAATCTCGAAGAATATGAGAAATTCCTATTCAAAAGTGAAGTAGAAAAGTCTGATACGTCAGACCATATCTAAAGTACTAAGGGTTCACATTACTCACCCTGGGATGATGTCCAAATAACAGATAAGGAACAAATAAGCGAATAATTGAAGGAAGCAACCGACATTAACCTGTCGGGCAGGTGTGTAAGTCAGTCGAATATGGATTTCAATACGATACGTATTTTCTTTTTTTTTTTTTGCTGAATAGCAAGACAACTGGCAAACATTTGCTTCTATATATAAAATTCTGTAACATCCGTTCATCCGTCTGTCCGTCACGCTCTCTAAAATAACCATACATAGATCGATCGAAACCAAATTTGGAGAAGTGCAAATATATAAGGGGGATACAGTGTATTGTATTAATATTTTTTAGTATAATTTTACATAAGATGCCTAAACTAGCTGAAATCAATTGTTTTCGAGTGAAAACAACTCGACTTTGACTACTTTTTAGGTGTTTTCGTAGCTTTGCAAACACCTTCTTTTAAAGAATAATTCATTTTCCAGTTCGCCCTGCGTTTGCAAGAATTATAAACAAATCACCAGGCCAAGCGTTTCGAAAAGTTGGAATTTTGCCCTAGAAAAAAATATTTACGCATGTCCAGTTGTATGTTGCATGCCCAAGAGTAAGAAATCCTAAGAATTTATTCTTCACTGTTAAAAAGTAAAAAAAAAATGAATTTTCTTAAAAAAAAATATTGTTTACCATGAAGTCCTATAAAATTAAATTATATACGATATCATCTAATATATATATATATATATATATATATATATATATATATATATATATATATATATTAATTTAAAAAAAAACAGACCACTTTAATGTTCCATTGTTATAATTTATTTCACCAGAGATTTTAAATCCAGAGAAAATAAAATCTCTGGTGAAATAAATTATAACAATGGAAACTTAAAGTGGTCTGTTTTTTCTTTAAATTAAATTATTTGCTCTGATTTAACATTGAGCTCTTCGGAGTTCATCCTCCTTGGGATTATCCATACGGATTACAAAAATTTTCGTTACTTAAGTACATTTCAATTGTACTTTGATGCATGTAAAATACAATTGCAAAATTACCATTCATTTTTTAATAAACTACCTTATTGATTTGATTGATTTGTTTTTTACGACTTATCAACCCTTTGCAGGCTATATAAAGCCAAAAAATATTTTTAGATTTTAATAATATTTTTAGACTTGTATCACTAAACCATTAAGTTTAGTGATACAAGTTTTCTTATTAACCCATAGAGAGGGGAGAAGAGAGGGATTTTCCAGGCGTGTATGCGCGTAAGTGAATATAAGGAACTCATCGGAAATTGGAACTTGTCTCTCCGATTAACAATTCCGAAGCATTAACAACTACAACACCCTCTCATCCAAACTTACAGCACCTGGTATTCGCAAGCAGTTACCCATTTAGTTACTGACCAGGCTCGACATGGCTTAACTTCAGTGATCGTACGGGAACCGTTGTTTCAACATGATATGGCCGTAAGTCTTTGCAATTATCTACTGAGTTTAGCTTAGATTGGCATATGGCTACGCTGCTTGAGCTCCCATTGAGCGTCGCATTTCCTATTCTAAAAAATTAGTTTGTGACTTGAACGAGTTAATCCTCATGTTCCGGCAAGCGATAAAATATTGACTAAAGTTCGTGAGTCTCGAAGTCTATACGTTGGCCAATGAGCTTGTTAACCATCACTCTGGTGTAAGCAAACACAAACTGGTCATAGAAAAAGGATGACTAACAAAGAATCTTGTTCTGGATGAAGAAGCATCGTGTTAATTCCTTGTAAACCTTTTAGCAGCACGTACAGTATGTCGGGACAAACAGACTTGGCCAGGGAGTGAATTTGACGCAACAATAGATACGCATGACTACAACAAAGAAACCAGTAAAGACTGAAGCAAGCCTATTTTAAACAATAGCAACCACACTTGTCAAAAAGCAAATTAACAGAAGATTCAAAATTTCCAGTTCTAAATTTCAAATAATTAGTGAAAGTGTATAATAATAATAATAATAATAATAATAATAATAATAAAATGGAATACATCATACCCAAATGAAAGAGAAAGTAAGAAAAGAATACTATAGACGTGGGCGTCTGGTACTGAATGCTGAGTTGACTTCACAAAACAGAATATCAGCCATAAACAGCTTCGCTCTGCCTGTGGTGCAATACAGTTTCAACATCCTTAACTGAATCATAGCCGACATTAAGCAAGTAGACGCCAAAACGAGAAAGCTTCACACTTGCCATTGCAAGGGTGATGTTGATCGTCGCATGTGTCCAGATCCGAAGGAAGCAGATTATTAGTCCAACTAGAATTATGTTACAAAACAATCGGCCTTCAAAGATATCTGGAAACTGCCGAAGACCGAATGATGATCTGTGTCAAAGAATTTGAAAGAAGAAACTTTATTCAGTAATAAAAGGAGTCAACAAGTTCAAAATGGAATTTCAAGTGGATGAAGAAAAGCAAGTAAAGCACAATACACCTTCTGCAGCGGCAAAACCCTTAAAATAAAGCAAATGCAATGAACCAGATACAGAAACGATGGCAAGATAAACCTCTTCATGGTCAATACTCTTCCTGTACCAAGCAAGCTGATGTAGACAAATCCCGTACTCAATAGTGGTTACGTAGTGCAGAGTTAAAAGCTGAAACCTAATGTCTTATTCTTGCTGCACAAGACCAATGCTTGCTAGGTAGAAATTACTAAAGACACATACTGAAAAATTGTCTCAGCCCAAAATGCGGATTCTGTGACAAATATCCAGAAACAATTGATCATCTTGTATCAGGTTGCATGGTATTGGCACTCACTGAATATAAAACCCGGCATGAGAGAGTGGGCCAATATCTGCTTTAGCAAATATGCAGCTTTTACGGAAAGGGAACTGCAAGAAATTGGTATGAACTCCACCCAGTCCCAGTTATAGACATAGGACCTGTAACGTTCTTATGGGAGGTCAGAAAACGCACAAACAGAACAATCAAAGCTAATCGTCTAGACATCGTGATCAAAGCCCACACAAACAGAATATGCCTTCTTATTGACATGGCAGTCTCTGCAGACTGTAATGTATCTTTGAAGATCTTCAAAAAAATATAAAACAAAGATTTTGAAATCGAAATCTGAAAAATGTGGTATATGAGGATATCAACAATTCCAGTTGTAGATGAAGCCTTCGGATTGATTAAAAAGTTTCCGATAGACTCATTGAAGGGATTCTTGGTAGCCCATGCCTTAAAGAAATAAAAAAATTGTACTCACAAGTACGGCCCATACCTTATGAAAGGCTTTGTCTATGTAAAATATGTGTGATCTTGTTTTTTTTTTCTTTTTTTTTTTTTCCTCAAAAAAATACTCAGTAGAAAATGTCATGATGCCACCTCTGACCTTAGGTCACTGATTGGGACCCGGAAAGAAATGATTATACACCAGAAAGCAAAGGAATAATAATAATAATAATAATAATAATAATAATAATAATAATAAAGGTGGAAATTCGAGTAAGAATAGGCGTTGTCGGAACTATTAAATTACTAGTGTCTGTGAGGATACCGAAAATCGAGTTAGAAGTTTTCACTTGGTTTTCAATGGTCATTACCAGACATCTGATGCGAACGCGTGAAACGAGGAAACAATAATAATAATAATAATAATAATTGTTACTTGATAGAAGTCTCCTGTGCCTTTGACATGAAAACAAATAAACGGGGCGATCAACAACTATAATGATTTAAAATATGAAATTTTGAAAGTTTAGAAAGGATTAGAAAAAATAGAAATTATGGTTCCTATGATCATTGGAGGAGTAGGACGTTTTAGTGAAGCACAACGAACTGGACACATCGGCAAAAGATAAAATGAAGAAGAGTTAATCATTGACTCTTCTTTTGATACAAAAATAGAGCAAAAGTAAGAGAAAGTCACCAGTTATAGTGGCTTTGGAAGTTGGAGAAGGTTACCATCATACCAATTGTTTATTGGAGCCTTTGGTACGGTGACTGACAGAATAAAGGCACGAATGAAGAAAAATGACATTGATGACCGAGTGTCACTGTGACAGAAAGGAAGCTTCTTAGGTACGACAAGAATAATCCGGGAAGTGATGAACACATAGAATCAGATGAAAAGTTCATCATATCTAAGGCTGTTAGTTGGGTTCGCTATCATTGTATTTAATATTAAATTATTATCTCATCTGAGAAAAATACAAAAGATTTGCTTCCTAGTAGGAGTCTCTTGTCCATTTGACATAAGAACTGAAAGAAAAGAAAAGATCGACAACTACAACGATTTAAAATATAAAATTTTGAAAGTTTGAGTTGGACTAATAAAGAAAGTAATTGTAGTATTAGTGATCATTCGAGCAAAGTTGGTTCTCTGGGTCGTATCAGGTATTTTTCTCGCCAGATTCCATATTTATAAATCTATAATTCATCAACACTCAGAATGTTGTTGCCACATATAGTCTGGTGTCCCTGCTATATGTTTAGAGATCCTTGATAAAATCCAAAGAAGAATCTGCAATGTTATTGGCCCAGAACTGATATCTTGACTTCAGTCATTTCCCCACTGCTATAATCTATCTTTCCTGTGCCTTTTCTATAAATACTTCCATATTAATTGTTCTGATTAATTTTCCTCTATGGTACAAATTTCACAGGTGGGAATTAGGTCTTCATATAGACATGGAGGCTTTATGTGGCTGTAGTAAGAATAGAAAGTAAGAATGGGTTGCTTTGGTGTAAGGAATACTGTGATATATTTGGACCAGTAATTGTGGCTAGCTAAATTTAAGATAAGACAAACTGAAGACCAGCCCTCCCCTATCTCCGCTTTTGGTCTTGTGCTACATGTTTTGCATTTTCAAAATAAATCTTACTTTCCTCTATGGTACCAAGACTCTCTGACTCTCTCTCACAGTACTAGTTGGCTGCAATGTTGCATCAAGTAACGGTTGAAATGGTTAGATATTAACGTAAGTTCTATGCTAACAGTTTCTTTCCTCACACTACACGCGGAACTCTTTTCCAACTTCTTGTTTCTCAATCAACATTGATCTTCAAAAAATTAAATGCAATGTCAATCGTTATCTACTGTCTTCTTAATTACGGTAATGTTAACAATGTTTTTTTTTCTTCTATTCTTCTGCACTCAGTAAACCCATTGTCTTAGTGGCTTTATTGCCTTGCTTGGGTGAAATGATTAAAAGATTATAGTAGAATGATTTTACAGTCGTTTGATTTCTAATGAAAGCTGCCAGGAACAATACAAGGAGATTGAATATTTAATCAGTACAAAATAATTCAAAAATATAAAAAATATATATATATATATATATATATATATATATATATATATATATATATATATATATATATATAAGTGTGTGTGTGGTACTCTGAAGGACCAAAAGCGCATTGATAATACACTCTTATCCCACGAGGCACATGGAAGAAAAGTCGTAAAAGATTAAACTGTTAAACATATAAAGCACTTAAATGAGTGCTTTTTACGAAGACAAACCTTATCGGGCAGTATACATCGGAAACTGTGCAAGCGACCTGGTTTAGAGCATGTCACCAATTGTTGTCATAAGAGGATGTCCTAGAAAATAAAAAAGAATAAAATACTTTGGCCTTCAGATCAATTATCTCTTCCTAGTGAGAAAACCGGATGTGATAACTATAAAGAAAAGACGGTCGATTTTATAATGAATTTGTCTGCGTCAGAGAACGACAGGGTGAAAATGAAAAAAGTATTAGGAAAATATTATTGAACATAAATTTTAATCTCCTGCTCATGATAATTGGCGCACTTTGAGCCGTAGATAAATTAAAAAAACTCGTAGAATTGTAACTTTGATCCCGCGGAAGCTACTGAGCCTGAAAGGACAGTGACAATATCACATTCCTGTCGAGGGATCTAGCGAAATTTTAGGGAACTTGCTGTCAATTAATCTCTAGCGTTAACAACCAGATATTTAAAGTGAATATTTTAAACTTTACACTAAATAAAAGCCAGATTAATTGCGTTTTGCTTTGCTGCAAGTGCTTCTCATAGCTTAATAGTAAAGCACATACCGCTTAAAAGCAGATTTCCTGAATAAAAATGGAATAAAAATCCATTTCCTGTTCGGAGGCTCATTTTCTTTGTTTAGATTTTGAGATTGGTAGACATTTAACATTCCACTGATTAAAAAAAAAAAACGGGCGTCTACTCAAACACGTGTAACCACCACATATAAAGTTTATCGCAATAGGTAATAATATCGAATTAAAAAAAAATATTAATCGCTAAAAAATTACTGCCTAGCAAATATTAATGATAATAATAATGACGGTAATAAATTTGATATCGAGTAGTTGTTCGCAAGAAAATCTCACTGGCTATTACTACTGGCTTGAGTTTAGTCTATATTGGATTCTCAAGTTTATAGCCTTGTGCCAGATTAAGACGAACCAAGTAAATATTGA